CAGGCAATCGCGGATAAAACCGGACGTAATCATACGATTACGTCCGGTTTTATCCGCATTGATGCATATGCATCAATGCGCCAATTGGCGGATGAAACCAGATGAATGCAGACATACACCTAAATTTGACATTAATGCAGGTATTTACGGATAAAACCAAATGCAGCTGCATAGTTATTTGCGGATAAAAGCGGATAATTCCAGACATAGAATGAAATGCAGCGGATAAAACTGGACGAAATCAGACATTTGCGGATAAATCCGGATACATGCAGACATAAAACGAAATGCAGGCAAAATCAGATGATTGCAGATAATTTACGTAAGTCATGTGTATCGTGACGTAAGTAGGTGGGTTAAGGGTAAGGATTTATAAGCAAAGGCGAGTGTAACAGTTACTATAGAGGTGGGCCAACCTGCGATTTTAGTGGAGCAGTGACAAGACGTGACTGCTCCAGACCTGTCACGGTGAAAAATAGCAGTGATTTTTTGGAGTAGTTACTAATATAATCTGCAGTGTCTGCTAAAATTTTCAAATTGGAAATTCCAATGTAAATGTTTCATGTAATCCATAAACTTAAAATATTTAAATTTAAGTATTTGGGCGAATTTTCGTTAAATGTACATTTTGTATATATATTTTGTCTAGGCAGGTCAATTTGATCGATTTTTTTTCCTTTGTAATAGAACAAAAATTCTATAAGTTTATAAATAACAAAAATAAACTTTAAAGAAATAAAACTTATAAGGTTAATCTGAAATAGGGAAGGAACACAAGGAAGAAATTAAACATTGTCCTCCTCCTAACGCATCTTCCTGAACGTTTTATGACACATTGCTTTTGACTTTTTCAAACGTTATTTTTCAGAAATACTGTTAAATGTAAATATCTTTCGGCATTTGTTTGGAATTTCTACTATGCTATAATACAAAATGAAAATAAAAAAGTTAACTTCTATAGAACTTCTATAAAACAAGAGTTTTATGTAGCGTTTTGTAAAAGACACCAAAAGTGTACGCAAAAAAATCTTACCTTTAAAATATTTATAAAAAAATTCACACACTTTACACGTGCTCACTTGTTGTTGCCGAACTATCAAACATGTATGCCCTCTAGAAATATCTCTATCTCGTGTCTCTATTTCGAAGCAGTCGGCATAGAAGACGACGTTAGGAAAAAGACAAGATTTTTTAATGTCAACTTTAATATTTTTTTCTGTTTAAACTACTTTGTAGAAAACTATTTTATTTTTATATACAAATAAAAGAACATTCCATTGTTCAAAAATAATTTATTTTTTCAGAAGAAACCTGCAAAGAAGAAGAATATAATAATTTAAATTAAAAAATCGCCTCTGGGGACAGTTAGGTTACAGGACATTTCACCTAGTTTTTCTGCCATATATAGAAACATAAAGTAATTACAAAAAAAATACGATGGGTCCGTACGGGGGTATTTAAATATAATAAATACAAAACTTATCAACAAAGGTCAAAAATAAAAATAAAATTAGCTGGGGACAGCAAATGTAAATTTAACGAAAATTTGCCCATTTACTATACAGTGGCGAGTGCATCCGAACGCGTTGAGTGGGGATATTTTGCAGCGGCGACGACACAGCATCATTTGGGTTTTGCATTTGTAAGCAAAATTAGGCTCGAGCCGTTGAGTGAAGAAATTCTTTAGTCAATGCTCAAACAGTGCGAATGCACTCGGCACTGTATACTTATACCGTGAAAATACGCGGTACCTATACTTACACTATACCTATCCCAGATAGCACAAGTACGTTCGTAGGACTTCCACCCAGGACAACCCGAACGTCCTCAGGATGTCCGGGGTCTGCAAAAGTACGTCCACAGACTTCCGAAATAGACTGTTTCAGATGTCCTCAGGACGTCCGTTTTTGACCCCAAGCTGTCCAATTCGGGACCTATGAGGACCGAATTAGGACATAGTTTTATTATAATAAAAAAGCCTACAGACGTCCTGGAGAGGTATATCCTATAAGTTCAGTCCTGAAATTCTCTGAATCGCAAGATATTTTTTTTTAATACACTCGACTAGCTAGACATTATTCGTTACTGAGCAGATGAGGATGGAGATGGGGACTCCAAACAATTAATGTTCAGCTATGCCATTACGGACACACACTTCCAACTAAATATTGCAACCAATCGCTATTTATAGTTAGCTCGCGTGCGTAAGCAGCCGTGAGATGTATCGATTATGCTGCGGCAGGCCGAATTCCAGCCGTAAGCGGGCCGGCTAGGGCAAGCCGAAGGATTTTGCATCGGCATGCCGTATTCTGGCCGACTTCGGTTAGAACATGGCTAAACGGTACCGGGGTAACATAACGCGGGCCGTAATTATAATTATATAAGTAAAAAAAATGGACATCTTTTTTTTAAATCTTTTATCGTGCTTGATTAAATAGTATTTTTAATAAAAAACAAGGTGTAATTTTTTTTCACTTAGACCCTTTATAAAGGGTGATATATCAAATTGTATCTTCAACTTTCGTCGCAGGCAGAAAACCGATGGACGTACTGAGGCCTAGGCCTCAGGATGTCCATCGGCCTAGGCCTCAGTACGTCCATCGGTCTTCTGGTCGCGACCGTCTGTAAAGGATTTAAACCGGATGTCCTCAGGACATCTTGTGCTATCTGGGATATAGTAAAAGGAAATAAATAAAGTTAAGATTTTTAAAATATTTATTACACATGCTGAAAAAATATATTACTTACAATATTTGGGTATAATATTTTTACCAGTAAGCATTCATTGTTCTAATAAAAAAATCGAAATATTTATTGTTTTAATGAAGCTTGCAAAATGGTTTTAAATGAGAATGGTTGAAATTTATATCCTGTTCCCAAGTAGAACTTGCTTTGAAATTCCACCCTAAAAATTAAATATTACTAATAGATGAGAAATACCGTTTACATAAAAGCTGCATAATAACGGAGATGTGCGCCGCCAAAAAATCAGGGGGGGTCAAGAATAGTAATAATAATAATAAACTTTTTTGATGAGGTGGTTGCACGTCACTAGTTAAAGGTTAAAAATATAAAACGAAGGCATGTGCATAGCGACGTTTCGTGCAAGTCTATTGCCGTGTCAAAATATCGGTCTTGCTCGATATTTATTGCCAGTTGCATGCAAGTCTGGGGGAAAAGTTAGTTACATTTTTCATATCAATTTACACTTTAAATTCCCTAGAGACTGTGGTTTGTTTTTAAAATCATTTGTGTGTTGTTTCTCTGTATATCATGCAAGTTGGAATTGGAATTGCAAAGTCTATGCAGTCAGCAATAAAACTGGCATGTAAGAAAAATTGCTGCAAGAAAGATTGTAATACGGTGCTAATATTTTGCTCTTTGCAACTTGCTAAGTAAATGGCAAAATTTAAATATGTATTCAAAAAATATAGTTATTAATAGCAATTTTTTTTCTCCGAAATTTATTTTTTTGTTTTTCTAAGATATTGTTAACAACATATTGTTAATCATATAATTAATGTTTTGTTTTCTTCTAACTTAATTAATTTTTAATAAGTACCTACCTATTATAGGTATACCTACTATTAATTAATAGGTATACCTACTATTTTAACAAAATTGTGCTCTTAATTAATACAGGGTGTCCGGGAAAAGGAGGTCAATCCGTTAACCATATATTCTTTGAGTTAAAACAATAAGACTTTCATAATACCATTTTTCAATTTAGAGCTTCATGTTCGATATACAGGGCGACAAAGTTTAAAATTTAAAACTGATTTTTATTAATAATTCGAGTAATTGATAAGATATTAAGTTTAAATTTGGTACACTACTTCAACATAAATAGTTACATTTTTTGAGACCAACAAAACAAAAAACAATTGTCAAATAATCAAAATAGGGGGGGTCCAGTACTCACTGACTCCCCCTATTTTTTAGTACGTGCGCCAATGACTTCCAAACGGTATTTTTTCAGGTAATCATTTATTGTTCAAAAAATTTTGTCTCCTATAAAATTTTGATAAAATGATTTGTTTTAGAGATAATTTGTAAAGTATGGGTCAGTCCATATCAAATCAACCAAAGGTTCTTCCCCCACCATCTCCGATTTTGATAATTTTTGGTAAATTTGTTTACCTCACTAAATAACTCAAAAATCCCATATATGAATTTTTTTCGATGGGTGGTTTTTGTTTTATTGATTTTTGAAAATCAAAAAAATTCCGATAAATTTTGGTTTTGCAAGTACTTACAAAAATAGCGATATCTCGTAAACTATTAAAAGTAGAAAGGTGAGTGATGGCTTATTTTAAAGGCCTATTAGTGACCTTTTTTATGATATAACCCATGACCTAAATTTTTTCAAAAAAAAATTAAATTTTAAAAAATTGATATGGATTGACCCATACTTTACAAATTATCTCTAAAACAAATCATTTTATCAAAATTTTATAAGAGACAAAAAATTTTCAACAATAAATGATTACCTGAAAAAATAACGTTTGGAAGTCATTGGCGCACGTACTAAAAAATAGGGGGAGTCAGTGAGTACTGGACCCCCTATTTTGATTATTTGACAATTGTTTTTTGTTTTGTTGGTCTCAAAAAATGTAACTATTTATGTTGAAGTAGTGTACCGAATTTAAACTTAATATCTTATCAATTACTTAAATTATTAAAAAAAATCAGTTTTAAATTTCAAACTTTGTCGCCCTGTATATCGAACATGAAGCTCTAAATTAAAAAATGGTATTATGAAAGTCTTATTGTTTTAACTCAAAGAATATATGGTTAACGGATTGACCTCCTTTTCCCGGACACCCTGTATAAGCAAAAACTTAAAAGTAATATTAACATTTAGCAAAAAAATATTAAACTTTTTTTACTGGCTTGGACCTCATCATGAGGTTGCTTAATTTAACCATCGAAAGAATTAATTGGATTGTATTTGCCCGATAAATTGTATTTAAAAATAATTTTATTTAAAAATAAGTTATTTACCAATGCAGCCTTAAAGTATGCAAAAATGCTGATAAACCTTCCATCATTACCAAAATTGATAAGGTTAAAACAGCCCACGCAGCAAATACAAAGTAGAAAATGGGTAGAAAATGAATGCCTCTTGTTAGGACCATGTCCCATAAAACTTCGGAAAGTTCTGAAAATAAAAAATATAAGAGCTTTTCCTAAACACGAACCTGAAACATACGTGTGTGTGCCAGTGATAGAGCCCACAATCGTAGATACGAAGCAGTATGTGAAACCGAACCCAAAACATACTCAATGGTGTGAATCGCTTGTTGAATGAAAATTTCAGAAAAAGGTTCTTCCTCGTTCGTAAATATTGTTGAAGGCGAATGATGTACCAAATCATTCGTTTCTAGGCTGATACTAACTGACCGTGTTATTTGTTGCATAGAAGTCTGAAAACAAATAATGAATAAAAAAAGCATTGTTTTTTTATATTTTTCGGTTGCACAAATTTAAATATAATGTTAAAATAAAAACCTCAATTGCTTGTTGTATTACAATTATTTCCACTCTAAAGGTTCTACGATCCTCTATATTTGAAATTGAATTAAAAACAATCTTCAAACAGAATTTCATTTTGTATTATTATATTGTTAATTAGCAGTTATCAATAAGTTTAGTCTTACATTTCCTCCTTTATGACCGAGGTTCATATTCTTTTAAATTGGTACGTGCCAATGCTGTCATACCCGAGTAAAAAATTATATTAAAGTAAACAATTGGAAACATCTTTTTACAAAAATAACATTATCCAGATGTTGTCAACACTCTTAAAAACTAAACCTTAAATTTGTTAAAAACGCAAATTTCGCATGGAGGGTATACCTTTCTGGAGAGAAAAAGAGATAATATTAATAAATTAAACATAAATTATGTCTTAAATACAAAAAACTGTTTGCCTTTTTTTATATTTGCCCCATAAAAATATTTGCTATTAATGGACGTACCGAATACGTTGATTTCATCACGCTTTTGTTTCTTTTTAAGGCCATTAATGGTTTGGCAAACAACATCCATGGTATGCATATTAAAGCGCAACCCAGCAACACTTTTTGGACAATAGCTTGACCATCATACATATAAGGCGTTTCACAGACATCTTCACATTCAGTTTCCTTAAACATCATCATATTTATGAATGTTATTAATATTGATGGAGCGCATCTGGTGCTTTGTGTAATTTTTCTTGCTAAAAAAATAAGGTTTAAAGGTAATGCATCACATAGTTTTATAAACATTTAGGCGAGTTCATTGGAATGATGTTGATCAGTTAAATAACCAAAGTTGTGTGCCCATTTCATCGCGAGTTCCACAAGGTTTCAAGTACATTTTGATGAATTTTACAGTAGAGCAATTTTTATGGTTTGCATTAAGGCAAATATTAGTACTTGTGATTTATATTGCGACGGGTTTTGAGTAGAAGAGTGTAAAATAATCTATTACTTACATAAAAAAGCTGTGAAAAATCTAAAATTTAAACTTTTAGGAAAACTCTTTGAAAACACTACATAGGTACTTGGAACGGTGTGCCTGAACGAAGTTTAGGTCACATAAAAATGACGCTAAAAACTGATTGCAGTTTCTTGTTCGGGACCCTTTGGTGACTTAAAAATGATATTTACCAAAATCCTAGCTAGCTAGCAGCTGCTCCTCTTTTTGAAAATTCATGATTGTTTTTTTAAATTTTTGTTTATCTTAATGTCTACCTTTGACAGCTGTACCCTAGGGTACACATTTGTACACCGATTTTTATAATATTGGAGTATATTGTTAAGGAGATTTGAAGAATACTGTTTATACTGTGCACATTATTTAATATATACAGGGTTAGCCAAAAATTGCTTCTTTTAATAAAGCAAAAGCGTAAATTCATGGCATAACACGCAAAAAAGATATATACCCACCCATGTTTTTTTAGATATTTTTATGTTTATCAGGCTACAAAATGGGATTCTTATCAAGACTTTATAAGAAAAATTGATTTTGAATAAAATTAAATAAAATAAATTTTTTTGGAGATAAATCTGTTTTGTGCATTACGGCCATTCCAAGCCCATGGACAGGACACATCAAAACATGTCTAAATTATATTCTTGTTACTTCCTTAAGTTTACTTATTTTTTCTACGAGTATTTATGAGAAGTATTAGCCAACTTTGTAAGTAAAGTATTCTTTAAGTCTCCTCAATAATATACTATTTTATAAAAATCGGTGTACAAATGTGTACTCTGTCAAAGGTAGACTTTGAAATAAACAAAAATTTAAAAAAAAATCATAAATTTTCTAAAATTTCAAAAAGAGGATCAGCTAGGATTTTGGTAAATATCATTTTTAATTCACCAAAGGGTCCCGAACAAGAAACTGTAATCAGTTTTTGACGTCATTTTTATGTGACTTAAACTTCGTTCAGGCACACCGTGTGTAACCTTCTTAATTAAAACATTAAAACGCGATTTATATATACTGCGATGTTTAACTTTTATTTGTAATTAAGTGAATAGCAAATAAACATGAGTAAAAGTCTTAACAAATTAAACACATTTATGCAATAGTTTTATTTAAAAGAAATAATTTATTCATTTAAAAAAATTGAAAAGAAGTTACCTATTTTGTTTCTTAATTTTGTACTTCACGGTATTAATTACAATGCTTTATGTAATCCTTATCTTTAATGCACATCCATTTATAAGAAAATAGTGTTTGTCCACTTATCTTCTGGAACCGTGCTTATGAGACATTCCAAATAAAACCACCAAATGGGGTGCGCTGCTTGATTTTTTATTTTGATAACAAAAATTGAGGATGATCTTTTAGGTATCAAATATGAAAATCCGTTTCCGTTTTAATTTTTGGATTCTTTACTTTTAATCGGCACCCTTTAGAAATCTGAAATCGTGTCAATTTCTTACTCTCTTATAGTGGGCCAGAACTTTTTTTCTGTGACAAATATTGAAATGATTTTAATTTTGTTTTACTGTTCAGTAAGTGTGTTTTCGATATAAATTATTATTATCCAATTAGTTAATCTCATAAAAGAATGGTAAACCACTAAAGATTCATGATAATTTGCCAATTTTTGTGATTTTTGTCTGGCTCCTGTGCCTATTCTACTAGAAAGTTATTTTTTTCAGGTATCAAGTACTTATACAATAGAAAACGTAACTATTATTTTAAGTTTCTAGACTATCATTTTCTTTATTAAAAAAATTATTGAAACTTGATAATTCTTAAAATTAGTCAATTTTGCCCTCTGAAATCATTATGTTGAGGAAAAAATAAAAATCTGAAACCTCCCAGCAAACAATGTTACGTAACGACAACGTTAAAATCAACCAAACTTTGTTAACCAGTAACGTAACATTAGAGGTTGAAATTACACATAATCTTATACCTGATATTACATATAAAATGTCCGGCGCATGTTACCAAAGTAGCAGTTATATGTAAGGTACAATTTTAAGAACATTATAAGATGGGCCTCCAAGTTACATTGAAGTTAATTTTGTAACTAAATATTTTACGTGATTTCTGTTACTTTCCTGTAATTTACTTTTGTTAGCTTTGTGTGACAGGTATTTTTAAGTAACTTACAAGTTATGCGATAAACCAAAAATTTATTCTTTTTTATAAAATTATAAATAATAATAAAATAAACAAAATTAAATATTCTTCTGAAAACAAAAAAATGTTACCTCTTATAATTAGGTAGGTATTTATTTTTTTATTTTTTCATTTCTGTCCTTTCTTTGTTTAGCAAATTTGAGCCAGTCGCTAGCGTATGTATGTTCTTATCGTGCTTTCCTGAATGTTCATCGATTTTATGTAGTCTACAAAAACTCGTATGAGTAGAAAAATAAATAGAAAATCATTATCAAATATACCTGTTACTATTTTCATTGTTTGTGTCTGCTAACTTAATATGATTCCTATATCCTAGCCAGGAAAGTTTTTCGGCAATTCGGCAATTCTTTGTAATATGTTGGTAATTATTTGTTTTTAATTGTTTCCCCCTATAAGCTTAACATATAAAGACTTAAAACAAAAAAAGTTTGATTAAATGAATTTGATTAATAAATTAGAATAGTTTTAATTTGGTTCACAGGGAAATCTCAGGATATAACCTAAGATTTCCCCGTGAACCAAATTTTCCTTTGAACTATTCCAATTTATATAAAAATATATAGGTACCAATTTTACTGTCATTTTAATCAAACTTACCTTGGATAGAATTTTTTTATTAATTATTAATTAATCTGCCTCTTGCACATAGAAAAACCTCTATACTCTTGCACAAGTCACAAAAACGAAGCGAAAAAGTCTACACGCGTGATGTCTTTCTATTAGCCAATAAATGCTTCCTTTTTCGGCGGTTAATTTAAAAGTTAGTATTTAAGTGTATTAAATAACTTCCATGTAACTTTCCTAGATCAAAGTTATAGACACATTACAGAAAGGACTTAACTACAAGTTAAATTAAAAGGATTTATTTAATAAAAAAACTTCCTTCAAATGTAACTTAAATTACAGGTATATGTGACTTAAAGATTTTAACTTTATTTTCAAACACTGATGTAACTTACATTTGTATTTCAAATTAGGGCATATAATTAAGCTACATTTTCAACGTTTTACAATCTATGAGCAACGTTACTATTAGGTTTAGGTAACAGTATTGTTTGCTGGGCTGATTCCTGAAAGAAAGCAACTTTCTAGATTTAGCAGAATCGGCACAGGAGCCAGACAAAAATCACAAAAATTGGCAAATTATTACAAATCTTTAGTGGTTTACCATTCTTTTATGAGATGAACTAATTAGATAATAATAATTAATATTGAAAACATAAGTACTTACTAGGCAGTAAAATAAAATTACAATCATTTCAATAATTGCCACAGAAAAAAAGTTTTAGCCTCTTATAAGAGAGTAAGAAAATGACACTATTTCAGGTTTCTAAAGGGTGCCGATTAAAAATAAAGCAACTAAAAATTAAAACGGCAACGGTTTTTCATATATGATACCTAAAAGATCATCCTCAAATTTTTTCATGAAAATAAAGAATCATGCAGCGCACTTTTAAATTCATTATTGGTGTTTTCATTTGGATTGACTCTTGACAAGTGTCACCGTGGGCACCGACAGGAGGGAAAAGTGGGCAGTTTCCCCCCTGTAAAATTAAAATACAAACTATAAAGTGTATTAAGTGTTAACATCGATCCGTCTTGTTGGAACAAGCTTTACCTAATTTTGTTTGCCCTGAATTACTTTCTGCCGGCGATGTGTGTCACATAGAACTACATTAAATTAACGATTATCCTGCCATCTTAAGGTCAATAGCAAAGATTTGCAAACAGATGCAGATTTTTTTACGTGCGTTAGTGCGCATATCTTAATTTTGGCCAAAAGTGTACTTAGAATCCTGTGGATTTGTCAATAGTCAAGAAATTATGAAGGCGATAAAAGAAAGGTCACAATATATTTCCCAGCTATAACAAGATACTGAAAACTAAGAAGAAATGTTATTCGAAGAAGTTTTAGAGACAATAAATAAGTTGAAAACCCCCTTTAAATTTAATTTACCTTTCGTCTATCTCAATGAAATTTTCTTGATTTGAAATGCCATAAGTTGTAATTCTTATAATTTATAATATATGGGTGTGCCTATATAAATAAAAAATGTAACCCCTTTTCTGGTATAACTGTTTTTACCTTTACGTTATTATCTTTTTTATTAACGAAGAAAAACTGTTTTCAAACCAGCTCCTACATAAAGTGTTAGTACGATTACCTCGCAAACCGCTTATCAGATTTTGTTGTTTTTTTGAACTGTAAACCATGGTTTACTCTATAGTAAAGATGCTCTAATATAAATTTTTATTCAGATTTTAAATTGAGCATATTAAGACAATTTTTCAAACGCGAATTTTGTGACACCGGGATGTACACCCTATAAAATATGGTTAAATTAAAATCTGAATAAAAATGTTCACTATAGCATCGTAGCTAAAGAGTCAACCTACAATTTAAAAAAATCATAAAAATTAGATAAGTTCTTCGCTAGGAAATCTGGAGAATTTCTGGAGGCTGTTTTTTTGCCGGTAAGTGTTTATGTACTCAATTTTAAGCTGAAAA